AGAAGCCCTGGCTGGCCCCCGGCCACCGGCTGTGCCCTGGCGGCTTTCGCGCCCGAGATGCTTCTGGAGCCGCGAAGCAGTTCTGGGCGCAAAAGGAACGTAAACAAACGAGAAAAACGGGGCCATAGACTAGGGGTCACGTGTTTTCACTGTTGCTGCCCCCCCGCGTTCAGATAAAGAACCCCCGGGAGGCTCAGCGCGCCCGGCTCCCCCCCCTCCCGCCGCTCGTCCTCTCCCTCCCGCCGCGGCTTCCTCACTGTCGCGCCGCCCTCCTGCTTCCGGCTGTGCGTGGTGCCGGCAGGGAGGGGCGTCCCGCATTTACTTGGGTAAGAAGGCCGCCTACTACCGCTGGTGTCAGGATGGCCGAGTGGTCTAAGGCGCCAGACTCAAGCTCTGCTTCCCTGCTGGGGATTCTGGTCTCCGAATGGAGGCGTGGGTTCGAATCCCACTTCTGACACAAGGCTTTTTTCCCACCCCCTTATTTTTAATAATATCTGAGCATAATGCATAAACACCTTACCAGCTCACAGTGTTAAAAAGTGCGTTTAGAAGATTTTTCACAGGAACTGTTAACACCGAGACGACTCAAAGCAGAACCACCGAGTATTACTGATACTCGGAAGCCGCGAGGCGGGGCTAAGATGCTTACCAAAGAACAGGTTACTAGCGAGTGACTTCTCGGAGGCACCGCGAGGTCAGCTGGAACCGCAGGAGCTGGGGTGGCGGTGCTGGGGGAGGGGGCGAGCCTGTGCTGTGTGTTTCTCCGCTTGGCTGTCCCAGGCCCCCTGAACATCTCCTCGAAGTTTACCGCCAGCCCCACCCCCTCTGTCTCTGGCAGTGCCATTGCGAAAGAAGCCCCACACAGGTCTCCTGTTTCTGCGCTTTCAAAAGACACGAAACTAGTTCTCAAACATTTCCTTTGTGATTTATGCACATTCACATTCTATTGGCACCTGAAATTATTGCTTTGTCTCCTCAGTCAAAATTCAGTACCATTTTAACTTCTGTATAAAATTTGAAAGCTATACCTTCCTCCAAATGTAACCACCATCAATATTCTACTGTATATCTTACTGTTCTATTTTCTCTGCATTTGTATGTATGTATGTATTAAAAATATTTTGTTTTTTTACAGAGTTGCAGTCATACCAAACATATGGTTCTCTGACACATTTTTCACTTACTATACCCTAGGGGGCTCTTTCCATGGGAACACATTCTTTTTCCTTCTGTTGTAGGCCAGCCGTGGGCAAACTACGGCCCGAGGGCCGGATCTGGCCGGTTCTGGCCGGTTCGGCTGTTCTATCCGGCCGGCGGAGCCGAAAGAGCGGAGGGTTCTCTTGCTCTCCCCTCCGCTCCTTCACCAGCAGCAGTGTTAACATGGCAACATCGGGAAACACGGCCGCAGCTCCTTCTTCTGAGTAGAAGAAGGAACAACCTCTCAATCTTCCAGAGGCTCCTTGTAATGCCCGCGGACGCGTCTCCCAACATCACCCTGGGAATGCATAGACACGTTATCGTGGTGATGTAGGGAGATATGCCCCTGGAGAGCACAGTATCAGAGCCTTTGCCATCTTCAATATAAGGTATGTTATTGTGCTATGATTCCTCCATTTTTTGAAGTTTTAAATTATAATAATTAGTGTTTACATTCTTCTTGTTAAAATGTTTGAAATGAATAAAACTATTGAAATAAAAAAAAAGACCGTACCCTTTTATGTAATGATGTTTACTTTGAATTTATATTAGTTCACACAAACACTCCATCCATGCTTTTGTTCCGGCCCTCCGGTCCAGTTTAAGAACCCATTGTGGCCCTCGAGTCAAAAAGTTTGCCCACCCCTGTTGTAGGCAGTGGGAAGGGCACCAGGTGTCTGACTGGCAGAGTCAGACCAAACCTGGATTCCGCAACCTCAGTACTTGGGTTCTGGCTAGGAAAGAATTCTGAGCCAAAACCCAAACTGTAAGAGGACATTTATTTGGTAAATCGCAGAGGTAGAAAAAGTAATTCCTAGAAGAAATGGGCTTAGGAAACCAGATATAGAGGAAGCACCCTTGGAGCTTGCACGTGAAGAAGCTAATGGTAACCCGTAGGGGTGTAGGAGGGAGGGAAGGGAAAGGCACTGTGCTCCTTGGAGGAAGAGCTCGCTGGGTCCTCTATCCTAGGGTTTTAAGGGTGGAGATTTAAGGGTGGCCCCTGGGGAAGATCTCAATAGAGTACTTAACAGCTTTCCAGGTGTGTCCTTTCAGAGTTGTGGTTGCCACTGATTGGCCAGCACCAGGGCCAATGCAGCTGGTCCTGAGGTCAGTGGCTGTCTTTGTTGCTCTCCTGGAACTGAAATACAACCACAGCCTAGATGTTATCTCTAGGGAGGAAAGGTCAGGTGGTCCAAACTGCATGACCAGTGATATGCTGTGGGGGTAAGGTTCCACCCTCTATTTGTCCGTTGCTAGGCACCTGGGGCTTTCCACCCTGTTGAACTTCTGTACCTGGCCCATCGTCCTTGCTCTGCTCATTTCTGTCTAACTGCCGCCTCGACTCCCCCCCTCAAGGATCTTGGCTCTGAATTCTTTCAGAGAAAGGGGATGCAGGGTCTTTTCTATAGCTGCTTCCTGCTGAAGAGGGACGAAGTTTTCTTTTGTATCCAAGAGATCTCTGCTCTCTGTCAGAGAGGCGATAATGCTTGAGCACAGAAGGAGTTGGTGATGGTGTCTAGGGGTCATATTCCCTGAGTGTGAGTAGGACTTGTAACCTGGTGAAGACAAACTGTGTTATAAATTTTAGTATTATTGGGGCAAAAGCTAGAATGACAAGAATTATGACAAATGGTCCAGAGGAAGGGAAAAAATGTTAATTCTCACTAATTCCAAGTCAAAGGATGGGATAAAAAAGAAATATTAGTTTGAGGGTTGTAGTAAAATATTTAAGAAAATTAGAAAAAATCAGGATCCAGTTCAATCCATAGGTGAAAAATAAAAGTTTGAAGACAATTACTTGAATTAGAGTCTAATATTCGCAACTGTGTATTATAGTCTGTTGAAATACATTCCCCACTCCCCTAAAATCACCCTCATTTTTTTTTACCCTCATTTTTATTAAGGAGTCAAATTAAGACCAGTTTATTTACTGTATTAAGTCCAGTTTCAATTTGGCCTGATTGTTTGCATGAAAACAATAAGAATAGTAGTTGATGGTTTAGGCTCTTTTAAATATACTTTGTTGGAATCTCATGATTGAGCCTTAATTAGCCCCCCCAGGACAAAGAAGCTGAGCCATCTAGCTGCCATCAGGGTTCCTGCAGTACCTGTAGACTTCAGTGAATTCCTCACATTCTTGAGGTTCCCAAAATGTCTTGAGGTTCCTTCCTTGCCATCTCTCAGGAAAATAACCTTTGTTCCTTACCTGGAAAGACTGCCATGAACCACATGACCAAGCAAGGTACCAGGCTCTCTCCAAGGGGCTTTTATTGGCTTCAAAGTTAGTCTTCATTTTTTAAGGCTTTTGGAGACATCCATAATCTAGACATGTCTCCCTCAGACATGACATTCCAGCCAAAGTCTTGGTTAATAAAACCACAATTGGAAACTGGTCTTATTGAATTAATGGAAAGAAACATATTGTCATGACTCACTCATTAAGAATTGCCAAGCTGTAGCTGGTTTGGCTTAGTGGGTAGAGTGTTGGCCTGTGAACTAAGGGTCCCAGGTTTGATTCCAGTCAAGGGCACATGCCTGGGTTGTGAGCTCAATCCCCAGTTGGGGGCGTGCAGGAGGCAGCCAATCAATGATTCTTTCTCATTATTGATGTTTCTATCTCTCTTCCTCTCCCTTCCTCTCTGAAATCAATAAAAATATATTAAAATAAAAAAGAATTGCCAAATTCTGGAGGGATAAGATAGAGAGAAAAACATATACTTCACCAAATTGCTTGAAGAACAAATAAGTCTCCTTATATCAGAAAAGCAAGAGGAAAATCCTTGTCCTTTTAACAAAGTAGAAAAGAACCAAATTCTAACTCTGTATTAGTTTACTTTTGACCTTCAAAGTTATTTTACTTAAATTCATTATTCAGAAGAGCACATTCTTGGCCTTTTAAAAAATTATTATTGATATTAGAGAGAGAGGGAAGGAGAGGGAGAGAGAGATAGAGATAGAAACATCAACGATGAGAGAGAAATACCAATTGGCTGCCTCCTGCACGCCCCCTACTGGGAATCAAATCTGCAACCTGGGCATATGTCCTGACCAGGAATCAAACCAGTAACCTCTTGGTTCACGGGCTGATGCTCAACCACTGAGCAACTCTGGCCAGGCTGGGCCTTTGTTTTGAAGGGTTTTATTTATTTTTTAAATATATTTTTATTGATTTCAGAGAAGAAGGGAGAGAGAGAGGGAGAGACAGATAGAAACATCAATGATGAGAGAGAATCATTGATTGGTTGCCTCCTGCAAGCTGGGGATTGAGCCCACAACTCAGGCATGTGGCCTGATCAGGATTTGAACTGTGACCTCCTGGTTCATAGGTTCAATGCTCAACCACTGAGCCACACCAGTTGGGCTGTTTTGAGGAATTTTAAAAGCTGGGCGTTTAGGGGAGGTCTTAGGAAAGGATTTCAATAGAATATTCATCAGCTTTATGCTGATGTACCAAAATGAGGTTCATTCTCTCTTTTTTAAAAAAAAATTAATTCTTTATTAACCCCTTCTAGCCCGCCCCCACCCCCACCCCAGGCCTTCCTCACCCTATTGTCTATGTCCATGGGTGATGCTTATATGTGTACAAGTTCTTTGGTTGATCTCTTCCCACCCACACACCCTCCCCCGCCTTCCCTCTGAGATTCCACAGTCTGTTCTATGCTTCTATGTCTCTGGATCTATTTTGTTCACAAATTTATTTTGGCTAACATCAACAAATCAACAATTAATTTCTTTCAGCTGCTAAACAACCACTGAGCCATGCCGGCTGGGCAACAAGGGGCGTGTCTCTGCTTATCTGTCTTCAGACTTAGTCAGCCTTCTTGGAGGCCCCTCTGATAACCGGAAGGGTGAGCCCAGACGTTTCCCAGGATCATGTCTCCAGACACCGAAGAATGAGCTCCGTGGACCAGAAGATTTAAGCAAAAGTGTGGAAAATTTATCACAAGCAGATCCAGACTCCCCTCATGGGGAGGGGGGCCCTTTAATGGGTTGCCCGTGAATCCTTGTAGTCCAGGGGTATATCTGTGCTACAAGCCTGCTCTTTGTCTGCCTGTGTTGCCACCTGATTGATTTCCTCATTGTTCTTGCCCAGCAGCGGACCTGGACCTGAACTTTCCCTGTTTCTGTTCTTTCTCTGTCCCTATGTTGAACTTTCTCTATTTCTAGGCGTCAGTTCACCTTATTGTTGCAGGCCCTCCCTAGTTTTCCATGCCTCCCGCTCTGAGTCCAGAAACATTTTATTATTCCTGCGTGGTTGGTTCCTGTGGTTAGGCTGCTCAAACTGCTGTGTCTGCCCTGCCTATGTTCCACCTGCCTTTGTTTCCCACTGGACCCCTGCCCTGTCTGCGTGTCAAGCTAACTCCTCTCACCTCCTATTGTTAGGGGCAGAAATAGAATATTGGGGACTAGCTACAGTTATAAGGAACATTAATCATGCTCTGTTAACCATGATTGCCTTGTGTTGGTTAAAGAAAGCACATTTTGACCTGGCTGGGAGTTGAAAGCCCCAGGGACCTGGCAGTCAACCTTGGAATGCGGTCCATTCTCATTCAAGAACTGCCTATTAACATGGAAAGATTAATAATCATCTTATTCTGGCCGGTTTGAATCAGTGGATAGAGTGTCCACCTGCAGACCAAAGGGACCCGGGTTCCATTCCGGTCAGGGCACATGCCCGGGTTGCGGACTCGATCTCCAGTAGGGGGCATGCAGGAAGCAGCTGATGCATGATTCTCATCACTGATATTTCTATCTCTCCTTCTCCCTTCCTCTCTGAAATCAATAAAAATATAAAACAAAAACA